TTTGTTTATCCATTCACCTATTAGTGAGCATTTAGATTATTTCCAATTTTAGGCTATTACAAATAAAGCTGCCATGAACATTTGTGTAGAAGTCTTTGCATGGACTTATGCTTTTATTTCTATTGGGTAAATCCTTAGGTAAGGAATGACTGGGTCATACTTTATGTATATATTTAGCTTTTTAAGAAACTGTCCAATTGCTTTTTCCAAAGTGATTTTATCTTCTCCCTGGTTGTATATGAGTCCAATTTGTCCACATTGTCACCAACACTTCTTATTATCTATCTTTTTAATTATAGTCATTCTAGAGGGTATTAAGTGGTATCCAATGGTTTTGATTTGCATTTCCTTAATGACTAATGATGTTGAACATTTTTATATGTGCTTATTTGTCATCCATATATTATCTTGATGAAGTGCCTATTCAGATATTTTGCCCATTTTTAATTGGGTTATCTTTCTTCTTACTGAGTTTTGAGAGTTACTTATATATTCTGGATTAAAGTCTATTATCAGATATGTGATTTACAAATGTTTTCTCTTAGTTCGTGACATGTCTTTTTACTCTCTTAACAATGTCTTTTAAAGAACAGTTCTTGATTTTGGTGAGATCGAATTTGACAGTTTTTTCTTTAATTTTCTTAATTATAACTAATTTGAATTTAAATTTAAATAGCCACATGTGTCTAGTGGTTACTGTATTGGACAGCACAGGTCAGAGAAAGAGACAAAAACAATAATAATAAAAAGTGGCAATAACTGTTGTTAAAGAAACAAACCTGATCTAGATTTAGATAAACGAGGTTGTTGAGCTGAACCACTTTGCATTAGGGTGTTCAGGGAAGGCTCTTTTAAGTGACCTTTAACTCTTTTGTGGGTGAAAAGAGCATGCTGTTAAAAGATTACAGGAAGTGGAAGCTTTAAGTTCAAAGGTCCTGAGGTAGGTGTGTTTGAGGAGCTAGTTTGCAGATGCTGTATAAGAAGTCAATCTCTTTATTTTATAGCCACATTTATTATTCTAACCTCAAGCAGAATTGCCTAGCTGGATTGCTCACCTTTATTTGCTACTCAGAAGATTTCACCATTTCCAAAAATCAAATCCACTCTCAAAGGACAAAGATTTTCTATCACCGAGGCTCTTCAAAGGAATATGCAATAAATTTGTACAGTAATTGCTAAAATGGGGTTCTAAAATATAATAGCATATAAATAAAGCATAGATAAAGCTTTAAATTCTTCTGCAATAATGCTTCCCTGAGGATATGCACATTTGCACAAAAGAGTTTTAATGAAATGGAAGCTCTTATTAGAATCATTTCAGTTCTGGATGATTTGGGTCAGACTCACACACCCTGATCCTTTGGTTTAATATACTAATTTAAGACTCTTTAAATAGGGTGAGAGGATAGGGAAGAGAGGCTTACAGGCACAGAAAGCCAGTCAAGGGAAAATAAATTTAAAATAGCTCCAACATTTTAAAATGTAGCAGCTGCTATTGTAAACTCCATTCTGCCTTTTCTTTCTCCATTCTCTGGGTCCAAATCCGTTTATAGCACCTCATGGCAGAACACTCCCAAGAGCTGACTTTGGCCATGTGTGTGTCTTATACTCAGTTTAAGTGAAACGTCCTAGTGAGTAAGCTTTTTAGCTCT